TCTGTCGTCTGTCTCTCTGTCGTCTGTCTCTCTCGTCTGTCTGTCTCTCTGTCGTCTGTCTGTCTTTCTGTCGCCTGTCTCTCTGTTGTCTGTCTCTCTGTCGCCTGTCTCTCTGTCTGTCGTCTGTCTGTCTCTCTGTCGTCTGTCTGTCTTTCTGTCGCCTGTCTCTCTGTTGTCTGTCTCTCTGTCGCCTGTCTCTCTGTCTGTCGTCTGTCTGTCTCTCTGTCGTCTGTCTGTCTTTCTGTCGCCTGTCTCTCTGTTGTCTGTCTCTCTGTCGCCTGTCTCTCTGTCTGTCGTCTGTCTGTCTCTCTGTCATCTGTCTCTCTGTCTGTCGCCTGTCTCTCTGTCGTCTGTCTCTCTGTCGTCTGTCTGTCTCACTGTCGCCTGTCTCTCTGTCGTCTGTCTCTCTGTCGTCCGTCTGCAGGTCGTTCGAGCCCATCCTGCGTCTCCTTCCTCAGAGCAGCGCTCCGGTCAGTCAGCACTGGGCCACCTGGGCGCTTTATAACCTGGTGTCTGTTTACTGTGAGTATTTCACTGTGAAACCTTCTCATCAGATCAGATTTCACCCCAAAATAATGCCATTCTCAGTGTAACACCGTATGAAAATCCTCCTGTCTGTATCATTAAAATCAGAGTCAATAAGTATGACTGTGAGGTGTAAACACACCCAAAAATCATTGTTCCGTCATCATTCACTCTCCCTCGTGTCCTTCCAAACTGGTATGAGTTTCTGTCTTCTGTTGAACACAAAGGAAGATATTTTGAAGAATGTATCTAAACAGTTCCCCCCCCCACCCATACTATAGAAGTCAATGGCTACCGTCAACTGTTTGGTTACCCACATTCTTCAAAAAGTCTTCTTTTGTGTTCAACAGAAGAAAGGAACTCATACAGGTTTGGAACGACATGAGGATGAGTAAACTACAGGATTTTTATTTTTGGGTGAACTGTTCCTTTAACTAATTTCTGAGTTTTATATAGTCTGTTTTTCATTGCGAGGGCTCTAAAGCTCTTCATGATGACAGACATTCTTTATTCTCATTAAATTCAGTTCAAACGGGCTTCTTTCTCTCTCTCTGTGGTCCTGTAGCGAGTAAATACTGCCCTCTGTTGATAAAGGAGGGAGGCGTCATTCTGCTGCAGAAAGTTCTGGAGCTGGAGTCCTCTCATCAGGAGACCAAGGACATGGCACGGTAACAATACACACACACACTCACACACTCTCTCACACACACACACACACACACACACACTCACTCACTCACTCACTCACTCACACACACACACTAACTCTCTCACTCACTCACTCACTCACTCACTCACTCACTCACTCACTCACTCACTCACTCACTCACTCACTCACTCACTCACTCACTCACTCACTCACTCACTCACACACACACACACACACACACTAACTCTCTCATGAATCACATCATGCTGAAGGTCTGATTTTTGTGTCTCATGTCATATAATCACTCAGTTTTAAACAGAGAAGCGGTTCTGGACTGGTCTGACGTAGTGTTGTGTGTGTGTGTGTGTGTGTGTGTGTGCAGTAAAGTGATGGAGCAGTGTGAGAACTTCAAGGAGGATCCGATGGACACCAGCAGGTAAAGGAGCGCCGGTCATCATCTGCGTGATGTTCTTCACTGCCACTGACGGCACAGAAACACCTGTGTGTTCGCGAGGAGGACGTTACGCTGCTCTCCTACAACACACGTCTGTCACGTCACACTACAGTGAGCTCACGAGTGTGTGTGTGTGTGTGTGTGTGTGTGTGTGTCGGGCTCGTTTCTGTGTTGCACATGGACAGCAGTGAGAGCTGCGTTATTGTAGGGGTGTTTTTCTTTGTTTTTATTTGTAAATGATAATGTGCCCGTGTGAGTGTGTGTGTATATGTGTGTGTGTGTGTGTGTGTGAGTGAGTGTATATGGTGTGAGTGTGTGTGTGAGTGTGTGTGTGTGAGGACGTTCTGCTCGTGTCTTTATAAGGAACAACCGTGATTATTTGTCTCGAGGCAGAGAGATATATAAGCTTGACTGAATCTTCTCAAGGCTCCTCTGTTCACGTTTGGAAGGAAGTTCTCGTCTGGATGTTTTCATGGCATCACTGTAAACACTCCCGGTTGGAAGTCTCTCGAGGTCCCGGCGGAGAACTCAATCACACATCTGTCATTAAAGCGATTCTCTTTTGGGGAGCTCATCATTCTTCTTATGTTGTATTTTTAATCATATTCACTTTTTATTTGCAATCTCATGATGAACGTGATCGACTGGCAGCGGGATCAGATGTTTATCTCCTGGAACGATGATGATGATGATGGTTTATCTGCAGGTTTGTGCTGTTTAACGAGGCGCTTGTTTTTCTACACGATTCTGAACTGCAATAAAACCATGATGTACTGAAGTAAGATGTCCACACAACACTGGGTGTAAAGAGAGATTAATAATAATAATAATAATAATAATAGTTGTCCAACACTCTGTTCCAGTGTCATTATATTATCTCGGCTCATCAGGTGTGTTTTTAAATCA